TTTGTTGTGAAGATGATATATATCTGCGAACCCCTTCTGGTACCTTGCCCACAAAGAGTAACAATTTTCAATAATTTTATCTGTCATAACTTGCGAATCAAGTCAGCGATTCTTTACATCTTGCTATATCTGAATATTTCTCTCAACCAGAAATCTGTGATGAATATGGTATTAGATGAAGTATACAAATGGGACACTTCGGGCGACTACATCTGGTAACATTTTGTAAAAATTATCACATGTTTCATGTAAAGTTAATAAAGTAGTTAATATAGTCAAAACCTGGCACGTCACAATGTTTATATCATATTTATTTAGGTCCGATACGAAATGGACAATATTGGCCCATTCCTTATGGACCTACTCCATAGAGGGTCGACAATTTGAATAATCATAACAGAAGTCAAAATATATTTTAATAATAGAAAATTGGCTGAGGGTATACATCTGTCGGCAATAACCAATTGATACTGTTTGACTTGTTAATACTTTTTTTTGTCTATTTCAAGCTTTATTAATTAATGAAAGCCGAATGGTGTTAATTTTAATACCAGCTTAGCACTTCTTTTTTTACTACTTGCCGACTTTATAAAATTTAAATTCAAAAGATTTTCTTACTCGTGTGTGTGTGCGTGTGTATATAACTGTTATCTCTACATATTTCATAGATGTACGATAGGCAACATATTATCACACTGTGTTCGGAATTTCTGTTTCTCGGCTTTTACATGCGTTTTGGTGTTTTTGAGATTTATGGAAAAATATTTCACTGTGACAAACACGTTCAGCCTTGGGCTTGGAATTTTCACAAAAGCAGCGAATAGTTAGCACTGGAATTTTGATTCACATCCCTTTGGCACCCGCTCTTTTTAATTCACAATGATATCCTCATACATAAAATTAGCGCAACACAATTTCACATTATTTTTTTCACTACAAACTACTAGATCCTTTATGCGTGTTGCAGCTTCACATGCATACATATATAAATTACTGTGCGTATGTGTGTTATCTGAGCATGTGCATATGCAGGCAGGTATTTCGCTTTTTATTTGAATAACTAATAGCGTTGATGTTTATACAGATGCTGCGTTCATTGTTTTTCCAAAATTCAAACGCACCATGTACCGTTGGATATGTTTTCCCGTGTGTCCCGAAATAACCGACTGACTGAATGACTGACTATTTAGCTAACGACAAGAAGACGTCTGTAAACGCGAAAATCTGAAAGTTAACTGAAAAACTAAAATGGTATCAAACAAATTTTTCCGTTGAATCATCGCCCAATAGGCCAGGCTGGCGGCCGTATTAGTGGCGCTAATGGAACTCCTCAATGCCGGTGTTGATGACGGCGGTGGTGGTGGTGGCGGTGTATATTCGAAGCAATAAAAATCAAAGAAACAAAAACCTTAAGCATTTTATAGTAATAAACAGAAAAAACGCACACACAAACAAATAAAATGAAACTGCATGAAAATAATAATTACTCCAAATACGAAAGCTAGACGAAGATTTTGACTTGGTGGACTTCAGATGCACTAAACCATTTTCGTTGCACCCAGAGAACAATAATCTGAAGAAGAAAATGTGTTAGTACCACATTCAACAAGCCCCATCAATTTCCATTCGCCACACATGGCTGAGTGTGTGTGTACTACATATTCTACCAGCCGGCCAGTCAGTTAGTCAAGCATTCAGTCAGTCAGTTTGTCTGTCTGTCAGTTAGTCAGGCAGCTTACTCACAAAAACACCTTCTTCAGTTACGCCAAGTTGCAGAAGCTGAAATTAGAAACGACATTTAACTACTTACCCACATACCCACATGGCAAAGCGTTGTAGCTAGCTAGCTATCTAGCTATTCGCCACCAACAAGGCAAGCGAACAGCAAAGTCAAAGCCATTCACTTGCCAGCAAAGCCCACAGACATGCGAATTTTTGTACTCGGCAGAGGAGCAATTAAAGAAATTTAATTTTCAAAGTCAAAACCTTAATCAAAATTTGTAATTTAAGGAGCGAAGAGAAGAGGGGCTCTTTGCAGACATGGGCTATACTTCATTAAGCTTGTAAATTGCAAAAAAAAAATGTATAAAAAAGGGGTTTGTTTTTGCTTTGAAACAACAACTGCAAACCCAAAGCTATAGAAACAATTTTCTATTTTATTGGTCAACAATCTTGAAAAACAACTGCCATAAAAATATCTGTGTGTAAGAATAAGGTTAATTTAATAAATAATAGATAGGCCATTTAAAAATCGTTAAATGTCTATGTTTAGCAATTTTCGTCAATTTTAATATTAGTTGCGACTAGGGGCTGGATTCTTGTTCTATGAAAATATGAAATGAAAAATATTTTCTTTATAAATTTTTTCATTTCTTCCCTTTATAAAAGTTTTCATTTCACATTTTCACAGAACAAGAATTGAGGCCCAGGTTTGCAAAGTCGTAGTCGAAGAGTTGGAGTCGAGTAATTTAGCTGGAGTGAAGAAAAATACTTGTCTTCATCTTGGGTGTATATATATATGTATATATCATTTGATAGGTCCAAAACGTGCCTCATCGAAATAACGGTTTTAGACCCTAAGTCTCTTTGGAACAAATCCATTTTAAGACTCTTGGCGTCTGTCCGGCTAGTGCAAGGGAAAAAAGTTTAAAATTTTCAAAAAAACGAATATTCTATTGCACAGAGAGAGAAAGGTAATGCGATTTTGATCCAACTTTGCAAATTCTAATATTTTCATTAGTGCTAGGTCAGGTAAGTTAATTGACAATATCAATACACTTCATCAAGTATCTCCTTCCCAAAGAATCAAATTGTTGAATAATTATACCTTATAAAATGAGATGTAAGAGTTCGATTGTCTTCAAATTACAAACATCACATTTTTTTATTGACCCTAAGTCTGGTGTAAAGATGGAATATATCGGTCCACTCCTTCAGGTACCTCCCCTCAAATGGTCAAAATGTTGAATATCTCTGAAGATCCAATTCTTAAAGACTCAATCTCATCTCAATATTTCTATCAACACAAAATCTGTTATAAAGATAGTAGAGGTCGAACAATTCCTTCTGGTACCTCCCCCACAAAGGGTCAACGTTTTGAATAACCAAATATATTATAAAATCCGAAATAACCATCCGGTTATCTTCATATTTTGCATATCCCATTATTTCTACTAACAAAATATATGCTCTGAAGATGGAATATATCGGCCCGCGGCTGTTGTGAAGATGATATACAGGGTGAGATGAAAAAACTGCAACCTCCGATGAGAAAACATTCGTTGTCCAGCAGTTCGTTTACTTGCCAAATGGTCGTGTTTTCATGCCATAGAGGTCAGCTGAAAATGTGCACCTTCGGTTGGCCACCAGAACTCAACAGCCGGACATGGTGATGGTGTGGTCCGCCATAACAGCAGATGGTCGCTCTCTGCTCGTATTAGTCGGTCATGGCATCAGAATAAATGCCAAATAACATCGCGAAAATATTCTGTAGGGTGAATTAAAGCCTTGGGCACGCAAACATTTTGGCAGACCTTGAACATTCCAACAGGACTCAACACCATCGCACTCAGCACGCGCCACCCAAGAATAGTTACAAAATGAGGTTCCTCGCTTCATTTCCACCTCAAGCAAGCGCTTCGCCGGGAATGGACCAAAATTTGGGCAGCAACATTTGGGCAGCGTGTGACGGTTTTATTGTTCGTTCGAAGGCCATAATTCGTGCCAAAGGTGACCAATTCGAACAAATCTAAATTTATTCTAAAATTTGATGCTATTTCCGACATTTTTTGCTTTCATTCATTAAAATTAAAAAAAAAAATTAAAAATGTATCTCACCCTGTAGAACCAGTAAAGAAAAGTCAAAAGCAGCCGACGTTTATATTGGGAATTTATTTGAAGTACATAGTTCATATGAACCATGATCATTTTTGAATGAAAGAATAATTTAAGTTCAGCATGTCCCAGTAGTCGGCACTTTTTATTTTTAAGCCCAAATAAATGAAACTATTATGACTAAATGTATTTTGTTTACTTCAAATATATTGTCTGCTATCTTTGTGTACAATTTCGCTAAGAAAAGATGATTTTTTCTAATAAAAATTAAATTTTTGTCTGTGAAGGTCCTCAACAATCCATATTCTTAAGAAAAGTACAATAAAGACGTCGAATCAGTTTAACTAAACAAAAATATTATATTTTAATGAATTGATTTATTATTATTATTAATTATTCTTACGAAAAAATTGGTATGCCGACTGTTGGAACATGCCATACCGACAATTAGCAAGTGGTGCCGACTACTGGCAAAAAAGCATTGTTTTAATAAAACTACAAATTTGTGAAATTTAATAAAAAGTTATTAAAACTTTATCTATTATTGCAAAAACTATACAAAATTTCGAATCTGAATAAATTAACTTTGTAATAATTGAAAAGTTCCACTCAGAATGGTGAGCGATTTAAAACGCGAAAATCCTAAAAGTGCCGACTACTGGTACACTTACCCCATATGTTTTAATTTTTTTCAGTTATAGCTTTATCAAATTTCATTAAACATGAAATCGGATGAAAACAAATATATGGGAGCTATATCCAAATCTGAACCGATCTCCAAACAAATTAGCAGATATATTTCTATGCTGTACCTGATAGCTGACATCAAATATTGTTGACATATTGTGCATATGTCTAAGAAAAATTTTGTTTGCTAAATTTGGGTACTTGTGTTTCCTTATTTATATCTTCGAGATCTGCTGAGCTAAATCAAAGTTTGTGCTATGTGGGATGCTCTTTCAAAATAGTCTATTCAAAGACTTCTTCTATACCATTTTTTGGTAGTATTATCAAAGGATATATTTACATAATGTCATGATATATGCTATGTCTGCGTTTAGCGCATTGTTTCAATAATTCTTCATCCTTCAAAGGAAATTAATTTTTAATATTTATACATTTTTATTAATTACATTTTAATTTTTCTACCTTTTCGTTTTTTTCAGGAGACGTATCCGTCGAATATATTCATGGCTTGCCACATCTTACCATACCTCTTCCCAGCAGAAACGAAAAATGCCGTTTTGCACTTAAACCTGTCTCACATCGTGTCGGAGATTTAATCGATATGCTGAAAACCGAAGATCGGGGCATTGATCGTGCAACGATACTGAATCAGTCAGGTGTTAGAATAGCATCAACGTGTAACATAGAAAGTCTCATGGATGAACCTTTTTGGTGAGTAAATAATTTCAAATCAATTAAAATAAACAATTATAATAAATTTAAGTGGAAGGTTTGATTGAGTTATTCATCAATAAGATATTCAGATTCTCCTTGTTTTCGGCAGTAATAAGCGATAATTTTATTGGATATATTATTTGTCATCAAATCATGTTGAAAAATCTTCATTTTAGATGCCGCATAAGGGAATAGATTTCAGATTTGCTACCATTGTACTGTCCTCTTTAAGTTTAGTTCAGTAGCAGCTTAGATCAAGTTAGTATAGGCCCCATATAACGGTGTTCCCTCATTTTAACCTTTAACTTCTGAGGTTTTATAACGTGGTGGTAAATTTTACCCCTCTAAATATTACAGAAAAAAAAACTTTGTGAAAAATTTTATTTGATAATAATTTGTTTTTTAAAAGTAAGCTTGTATATTTTAAATTACAATAAGTAAAAAAACAAAAACATTTTTTTATGTAAACAAAATTTTTGTTCATTGTAATAGAATAGAGAATTTCAAGAAAATGTGAAGGGAGGGTAAAATTTACCACCACCTCAGAAGTTAAAGGTTAAGAATTTCGACGACTTGCGGCACACTTTTCAACGGAATTGTCTGGATTTTAGTATTTGAAGGTTGTTACGGCTTCCTAACCACCTTGGAAAAGAACTATATAATTATAGGCAGGGCTAGCCAAACACTAACAACACAAAAGCCTTCATGGTGTATGTTTCATAGGCATGAACATCGAAAGAGTAACTCTCCCTCTCTCGGTAAACATTGTGAGTGTTAATTATATGCGAAATTGAAAACCATGAAATCGAGCGACCGGACCTCCTACTTCATTGAAAGCTGAAAAGGAACTGACTGTTTGTTAAGAAAATTTTTTGTTGAAGGTGTTTTGCCTAACCCTGATATAAATAGGTCCACATTGTGATATATCTCCCATATAACGGTACCACTCTTTATTCGGTATTCTGATGAATTTCCCAATTTGTTTTTTTAAGAAACTGCCTTAAAAAAAAACTTTTTGATATAGGTCCGCATATTGACTTTGTATATATTGTGGTGGTGGGTATCAAACGTTCGGCCTGATCGAACATAGTTCTTTTTTACTTCTTTCATTGTAATATTACTCTGTCTGACTTTTCTGCTCACTACCACTTTTTAACAATGGGGAGTGACATGAAGGCTGATTAATGACAGACGCCGATAAATTCCAGATTTATAATATTTTTACACCCTCCATCATACGTAGTATGAAGGGTAAATTAAGTTTACCATTCCTTTTGTAACTCCATGAAATAAGTATTTCAAAGCCCAAAATGTGCATATATTCTGAATCTTTGGAAATCCTGAGGTGCATTTTAAGTCCATAGAATTTTTGATATTGAAAGTTGACCACATAGGTCCACATTATGATATAGCCCATATAGTCATACGGAAGCAAAATTTGCTGTAAAATTGCAGTTTGTGTTCCCTATATGCAAATCCAAGTTCAGGTATAGTGTAACTGTGCCTTTCTTTATATTCTCGAATTCGGTACTTGGAGTTCGAAATGAAAATTGCTTATACAAGTCCATGTAGAGTGTGAGATGAAAAAACTGCAACCAACTTCAGACTGCTGTTATTTCTAAGCCACTCGTCCGACAGCTGTTGAAATTATTCCAGTGACAGCTGATTATTTTGTTTACAAGCGTACAAAAGCATTTTGGTGAGAATTTTCCAGAAAAAAAGTTATTCGTGATGGAATTCAAGCGTGATAGTGTGATTTCTTTATATTTGGCTGGAAAACCACAAGTGACTATCGTTAGAGCACTCCAGCATTTAAATGTGAATGAATCTTTTGTTTCTCGTACCATCGCTCGTTACCGTGATACTGATAGCGTAGCCCGATGTCAAGGAAGTGGACTGAAGAAAACGGGTTGTGAGCCGAACTTATCGCAATATTCCATTCGGCAAATAATGAAAAATGAGCTCGGTGCAAAGTCATTGAAATTCAAAAAAGTGCAAGAACTTACACCGCTACTGAAAGAAAATAGCCTCAAAAAAGGTACAGAGTTGCTTCGCTTGGCCGAAAGTGGTGAACTACCGAATTTGGTTTTCTCCGATGAGAAAACATTCGTTGCCCAGCAGTTTGTAAACAAACAAAATTATTGTGTTTACTTGCCAAAGAGGTCAGCTGAAAATGTCCACCTTCGGTTGCCCACTAGAACTCAAGCGTCGGCGATGGTGATGGTGTGGGTCGCCATAACAGCCGATGGTCGCTCTGCGCTCGCGAAATTATTCTGGAGGGTTTATTGAAGCCTTGGACACGCAAACATTTTGGCCGCAGACCTTGGACATTCCAACAGGACTCAGCACCATCGAACTCAGCACGCGCCACACAAGAATGGTTACAAAATGAGGTTTCTCGCTTCATTGCACAGAGCCCAATGGCCACCAAAATCTACGGATACCAATCTGTTGGACTATTGTGTCTGGAGTATTTTTGGAAAGAAAGTGTCGATCACCTCAAGCAAGCGCTTCGCCGGGATAGACCAATATGCTGCAGACCAACATTCGGTCAGCGTGTGACGGTTTTGATGCTATTTCCGACATTTTGTGCTTTCATTCAATAAATTAAAAAAATGTAAAAATTATGGCGTTTGACTTTGTTGCAGTTTTTTTTTATCTCACCCTGTATATGCGAGTTATAGCTACGTATATCTGAACCGCTTTCCACCAAATTTGGCATACTTGTTTCATGTAAGTCCATTCAATTTGGACTAATATAATACAAATGGCGCACAATTAAAGGCAAATCGGACGAAGATATATATGGAAGCTATATCTAAATTTTGACCGATTATCTCCAATTTCAAACAAATGATTTGTGCAAAATTTCATCTTGATCCGGAATAAGTGTAACCTGTACTTTGCTTACAAAAGCATGCATAAATCGAATCAGAATGCGATTCTATGCAGATCAGCAAAAGTAACTATGGGTCTATCTCGCTTCCTTCTCAATTTTACAAACAAATGCACAAAGACATAATACCCTGACCACAGTTTGGTGTAAGGTATAAAAATTATCTATCAAAGTCGAAATTTTTGTATGGTCCCATACAATAGCATGTCTCAAACTGAGTATTTGGAGTTCGTAAAAGGCATCACCTTCTCTGGCAGATAATTAGCTATAGAGATCCACGTTTTTATATAGCCCCATATAACTGTAAAACATGATATTCCATTTTTTTTTTAAATTTTGTCAACGAGTTATTGTTTGCATTTTGCATGTTTCTAGCCAATGGTGGAGGGCATTTTTTACTTGTTTTTCATTATCTTTGTACATTACCGACCATCGGACAAAATTTTGAACGTTAGTTTACATAATGTCCAAGCAGATTTCACTTTGCACATCAAATTATATGCAAACAAAAAAGAAAACATAATATTTGGAAAATATGTTGAGGGTATGCATATGTCGGCAAACCGATTGATACTTTCTAACTTCTTAAACTTATGATTAGCATTGATGATTTAGCTCTAAAAAACCCCTATTTTTTCTTTTTAGGATACACATCAATGACCAGAAATACAAAGTTGTGCCACCAAAACGGGAAAGGGTGCAACTTGAAGATCTAAAAAAACTGGGAGATGTCAAAGCCTTAGTAGCCCAGGTAAAAGTCAATCCACTTTACTTTTAACCTCATGACGGTAACGTTTTCTATTAATTTTCCCTTAGCTATACGAAGCCTTGCATGTGGGTGAATATCACATAGAAAAGGAACAAGAATTGAATACAAAACTTGAAGACTTAAAATATCAATTGGCTCCTTTGGAAAGGGTAAGCATGAACAAGGAAAATATGGATCCAATCCTCGTCTAATCTATTTTCCGTTTCAAATTGCAGCAAAAAAGCGAACTTAGTGCCCAGGCGGAACGAAAAACCAATATTATGACATGGGTTGGCTTGGGTCTGATGTCGGTGCAATTTGGTATTTTGGCACGCCTTACGTGGTGGGAATACTCTTGGGACATTATGGAACCTGTTACATATTTCGTTACCTATGGCACGGCCATGGCCATGTATGCCTACTACTGTGTAACAAAAACGGTAAGGATACTCCCGATGTCAAGTTACATGGTTACAATTGATCATGTGGTTGTAAAATTTATTTCCAGGAATACAATATACCCGAAGTGAAAGACCGCCACTACCTCCTGACCCTGTACAAACGTGCCAAAAAGAGGAACTTCGATGTGGAGACCTACAATTCGCTGAGACGCCAAATCGCTGAAATTGAATATGACTTACGTCGCTTGCGCGATCCTCTGAACTTGCAACTGCCACCTCATGTCGACCGTTCTCAAGAGAAGCCTCCACTAAACCCTGGCCAGCATGCGGCTATCACCGCCAAATCCACTGACATCTCAAGTTCCAATGTAGTGAAGAAATCTGGCTTCAAAATACCCTTTTTGGACTCGAAAAACTAAATGATGCCATTTGACAACCCCAGCAATAGGAAATTTCACGATGACAATGAATGATGTATAAATCGACATTCATACATACCCAGACACACTCACACACAACTTAAAAAGCATTTTCATTTAATCTAATTCTACGTTGGTACTTTGTTTCGTGGTTCTCCGGACCGGACCCATACCTCATTCGAAATGCTGTGCTTTTACAACCATTTTACTTAAATTACCTAAAAAATATATTTTTTTTCGTTTTTAACTAACACTAGCAAAAGAATAACTGTATTGAAAATCCGTTCTATGTTGCATTGTACAGTTTGTTTAAAAAAAAAAAAAACTTTAACTTTGAAAATGAACCATTTTCGCACTTGCACCCTATGATATTTTGATTATTTTCTGTTTGGATTTTTTTTTATTTTTTGTATTCCCATTTCACGTTAAGTATTTATTTTGCTTAATTCATTTTTTAAGTTTTAAGTTAGAAAATTTGTGCTTATTTTAATGTTAGGATCACCAATCGGACAATATTTGGAAATGAGGGATATTTTTTTTTCGAAAATATTGATTTGTTCATTTCCATTAGCTAATTTGTATTTTTATTTGTGTAATTTTATTTTTTAGTTTTGCCAATATATACATACTTTTAAATTTCCCTTTATTGCAATCATGTAATTGTGAAACATTTTAATTTTATTTTAAGTGCATAGCGTGTTTCAAATCTATATTAAAATTAATAAAAAGTTATTATTTTATGTATTTTTTTTTTTGTGTTTTTTAATATTTTTTTCTTTTATCTGATTGAGATTTATCAAAGTGCTTAGTTTTTTTTTTATTAAGCATATTACAAGGTAAACATCAAAGTCATCTTAGTAAATTATCATTGGAACTCTAAAAAAATGAAGGAGGTAGAAGGCGACGGCTATTCTAATTGATAATGTCAGAAAACGACATATTTTAACCAACGTGAACCAAACTAAGGTTTGTATTGAAATATGGTACATTGTGACCTTAAATCGATACTTAAATTATAAAGAAAGGAAATTATTTTTTCTAATCAATTTTATTTGGCTTTGGTTCCCATTTCCATAAAAACGAGAAGACAAGAAGTGAGAATGTATAAATCATGTTACTATAAATGACGAATGGTGTCGTGGGAATGTGTTGATTCGAGTTCGTAATTCTGAGAACGAACAGCGTTGCTCGAAAACGAATGGAAACATGCTATATGTTTATGTAATATAACAGATGTCTTCTGAAAACGCCATTCCAAGAAATATTACTTCGGTTTAAGAGTGTGAGTAAAAAAAGAAAAGTAAATAAATAAATAAAAAAAATTGTATCTAATCCCGTTGTGAAACGTGAACTAGATTGTCCGAAGTTCTATAAATAGAGCTGAATTCCTAAACGTATATTAACAATGTCGCAATGCAGTATTTAAACTGATTTGATACTTTTTAAATACTTGACATTTTAAAACTTTACGAACTTGCATATTAATGGAGTGAACAATGGAGGAGTACATATTTTCGCTTTAAAAAAGTCGAAATTGAATAATATCCTTCAAAATCAACATATCAGTCAATCAGAAGCCATTCTACTATTTTTTTACCCGATCAAATTTACTCAGCATATAGTAGTAGAGAACGCCATATCCGCGTGTGGTATCCTCCTTTTGTCCATGAGATTTATTTTTATATCCTACACCACAAGGTTGTCAAGATATTATGTCTTTGTTAATTTGTTTGTAACAGGCAAAAGGAAACGAGATAGACCCATAGTTCCTTTTAATGATCTGCATAGAATCACATTCTGAGTCGATTTATGCATGTCCGTCCGTCCATCTGTCTGTGTATTTATATATATTTTCGTCCAATTTGCCTTATATTGTGCACCAAACTTGTAATATTTTTATTGCACGTACAATCAGATTGGACCTAAAAATCAGTATGCCAAATTTGATCGAAATCGGCTCAGATATAGATATAGCTCCCATATACATTGTTCATCCGATTTGTTATTTTTGTCCTCCTCAGTCATAATACGCACTCTGCAATAACCATATTTGGGGAAATATATCAAATACAGCTCAGAAATACCCTAGAAACCAGTATGTCAAATTTGTTGGAAATCGGTTCAGATATAGCTATAGCTCCCATACATGTTGTTTATCCGATTTGTTGAATTTGCCCTGCATAGCCGTAATATGGACTCCGTAGTAACGATATTAGGGGAAATATATCAAATACAGCTCAGAAATACCGTTGTCAAATTATATCGAGATCGGTTCAGATTTAGATATAGCTCTCATATATATCTATCCGATTTCAAGTTAATTGTGCACCAAATGGATGATCCAAGCCCGAATTGAAAAGCCGCAAATGCCTCAACAAATTTAATAGAAATCGATTCAGAGGAGGATATTCCTCCCATATATTAGTTCCTTTGGACTTTTAATTGTTACTATAATCATAGTTGGTATGATTTAATTCTCACAAATTCCCCATTTAAACTTTTATTTGTTATTTGAAGCTCTACTAAATGTGCAAAGTGGTGTAGGGTATCATAAAGTCGGCCCGCCCGACTTTAAGACTTTCTTTACTGGTGGAAATCACTCTAGCTTCCGAACAAAATATAATAGGTTGATAACATTTTACTCAGATATGTGTCAGGTCGCAACAATTGCATTTACAGACCCACAACAATTGCATATACAAGCACTCATCTTCGTATAGGCCCCAATATAACCGCAACTCCTTATATTCAATATTTTCATGATTTTACCAGAGTTTTTGAAAATTTGCAAATTTCTTTCCAAATGGTTGGGTCTATTCAAAGTTCGGCTCGGCTGAACTAACTAGTTTTTCACTAGCTACTAGCTAAGCTTGGACGAATAAAAAATAGTAGCATTGTTACCACCTTCTTCTTGCCTTATACGTTGATCTCGAAGGATTGCCACGTAGTTTTGACATTTCCGCTAATTTTTCGTTCTCGTACTTTCTGACCAAAATAGTACTCTCAGAGCGAATGTAGCAATTCCCTCTTTTACACTTTACATTAAAACATACGACAACATGTCAGTTTTTTATTTATCCACTTATTTTTTACTTCCTGATTTATTTTAAGTTTATTTTTCATTAATTTCTCAATGATCATCTGGCTAATGAAAATGTAATTTGTCAGCAACATATTGTACATTTTGTAAATAAGTATCGCACCAATTAGAGTTAATGAACAAACATTGTACAACAAATGTCTTAGGAATAGAAAAAAACTAAATTACCAATAAAACTAAAAAAAATTACAACTAATTGCAACCAAAAAAAATTAAAACAAAACAACAAAGATGATGCCGATTAGTTAGATTATAATTTTAGAATAATTTGATAATTTTAATTGAAAATAACATCCAGAACAACAACAACAATAATAATATAAATGTTAATATGAATAATTTGAACAACAAAATACAACCAAAATAAATCAATAAATACGAATTGTATTGTATTGAAATTCTGTTAATAAAATCGAATTGCTGCTATTTTGTATATAACGAACAATGGAAACAAAACAAAAAATCCCATAAATTATCTGATAATAATTATAATAATGAAAAGCAACAATAATAACAACAACAACTAGAGTGTTTCATGACAACGTAAATCGAACAATTGTATGGTAAATTAAACACACCAATAACTAGGACAAATACAACAAATACAAATATTGTGTTTTTTTTTTCAAATATAGAACAATTGAAAAAAATGCGCCAAATTCAAAAGACACGCCTAAATACTGAAACACGAATTTATAATTCAATATGCAAACACAGACAGACAATGTCGAAGATATACATTGATTTTACGCTTTTTTAATGTACATTTTAAAAATGTACTAATTTTCAAAAAGGGAATAGTCACTCTTTTCGTTTTCGTACTCAAAACGGCATGACAAGGAATATAATTGCAGATTTTACGAACGACTGTTCACAAAAATGTTCCCAAATTTGTTTTAGATTAAAGACACAAATGTGTCGTAGCGGTACGAATTGTAATGGGAATTTTTGCTGGGAATTATGGCTGACAATGTTTTTTGGAGAAACACATTGGGTTGCATAACAGTCTATGTAAATGTTTGAATACCGAATATGACGAAGATAAATTTTGAAGATAAAACTAATTTGATGAAAACTATAATGTTTGTTGTAGAAATGACCATATTTAGAGTCTCTAATTTATAATAAATATGAGCGGTAGCGGTTGAAAAAATTAAAGATTTTCCGTCAGAACTTTTAATGCCTTCATCAATATGTAAACACGATTTGTCCCGAAGGTAGAATCTGATATCGTCCAACTTGGTACATCGAAATATTTCTATCAAATTTGATTACCTCCCTACATAAAAGTTCAAAACATTCAAAGAAAAGAATATTTTGAAATGCTTTCGATATTGATAAAGTGTTATTCGAGATGTGATGTCACCTTCTTTATTACGTTATTTATTTGATCTCCTCAACTCTTTCAGTTAATTTGACTGGTGCACAGAGTATCAAAGTATCGTTTAAAAAGGTAAAACGAATGTTTGAAATCGAATAAATTTTTGGGCCTAGAGTTCGCCCGGGACGAACTTTGAATGGGCCCTACCATTTGAAAGGGACTTGAAAAATTTCAAAAAATTCTGAAAAATACCGTTTAAATGATGACCTTTATATAAGACGTGGACCAGCATAAGTAATTTCTGTCATTGGCTGTAGTACCCATTAAGATCTTCAAATGCGAAGTTTGAAACAATTCCGGCAAATGCCGTTATATGAGGGCTATACGTGAACCCTTACAAACTTCGAATACGAAAATACCGAATGTCGGGAGGTACCGCAATATGGGGGCTATACGAAAACGTGGAAATGCATACAACATTTTTTTGCATAGGCTGTAGTACCCATTACAAACTTAAATAATGTACTACTCATTACAAACTATAAATACGACATTTGAAACAATTCAGGTGAATAATGTCGCTCAAATCATCAAAATGCGAGAAGTAGTGTTACCGACATGGCCCATTTACGAACTCAATCTGCCGACTGGCAAAATACACATGTGTGCAAATTTTTAGCCTTCTATATCAATTCGTTCGAAAGATATCGTGATTACAACAGACGGACATTGCTAAATCGTTTTCGAATTTTACGCTGATCAAGAATATATATACTTTGTAAGGTCTATCATGAATATTTCCTCCATAGAATGGAGGAGGGTATAAAAAGTATAAAATCTGCTAAGTTCTATAGGGCCGAAATTTAATACCCTTCACAATTTGAAAGGAACTAGCAAATTGTAAAAATATCGTTGAAAAGTTCCGCTATAATTTTAACAATTCCGAATTTCAGGTATTACGTTTATATATAGAATTATAAGTCAATATGGACCTCTATAGACAGACACCTACAAGCTAGCGCGGTGCATATTACGGACTCCAAATACTATGTTTGAGATAATGCTATTGAAAATTCTAGCTATCATCATAAAAACCGAATAAAGGGAGTTATCCTTATATGGAGACTATACGAAGACGTGGACCTGTTAGTGAAGGTCCAAAAACCAAATATGTTGCAACTTCGGAGAAAAATGTGTCGCAAATTTATATGCGGACTATACCTAAACTTAAATTTAAATGGACAGCTTTTTGCAAGGATGCTTTCTACATAGGGGAACACAAACTGTCAATTCACAGAAAATAAAATAAACCACCAAAAAACC